CTAATGCTAGTTCAGGGACCACACTTTGAGAACCATTGTCTAAATCACTTTTAAACCACAACTTTCAGGTGAGACCCCACTCTATAACCTCCAAAAGTCCTTCAACATGATCCAATCACTTTAAAAATGCATACTTAGATACTACCAAGATATAGCTTTTGGTCTTAGGAATCTGGCCTAAAAAACAGACCAGCATTTACAACTTAGGGGCTCCAGACCCTCAGGGTAACAGGTGCATATGATAAACCCACTTAGAACTATCCCACACTGAGGTTTAGGAGTAGGCCTGAAAGCACCCAATGTGACTCTAACTTGAGTTCCTAAGATATTCTTGGAATCACAATGAACATCATCTGAACCCCAAATAACAACTATGCATCCTCTGAGTTACTTGACACCACCAACACCATTTATCAAGTTCTCTAACGAAGACTAAAGCCTTGATACTCAAAGTATACTCAGTGGACCAGCAACATGTGCACCACTTGGGAGTGGGTTAAAAAGCAGAATCTTCAGGACCACCCCTCCTTACCACTCAGAATTCCTTCCCCAAGGCCTAAACATGATTCCCCAGGCATATTAACATTTGAGAAACAAGCTAAACTAAAGATGTCTTAGCACAAAAGGAAACTCTGGTACATTATCCTGAAAAGCACCTGACCAAAACATCTGTACTTCTTCTACTCATGGGGGAGAAACAAAAACTCTTCGAGTTCTGAACAACAAACTACTAACATTATCCCAGAAAGCAACTGAACACTAAACTAAGAAGGATCAAAGGTTAAGGGGCCAATGTCTTTTTTTGACCCTGTAAGTAAACATACACACCTACAAGTTTCCACAGAATACACCACCTATTAAAAAAAAAAAGTCACCGGCCGGCTCACACCTGTAATCCTAGCACTTCGGGAAGCCAAGGTGGGCGGATCACCTGAGGTCAGGAGTTCGAGACCAACCTGACCAACGTGGAGACACTCTATCTCTACTAAAAGTACAAAAATTAGCTGGGTGTGGTGGCACATGCCTGTAATCCCAGCTACTCAGCAGGGTGAGGCAAGACAATAGGTTGAACCTGGGGGACGGAGGTTGCCGTGAGCCAAGATCACGCCACTGCACTCCAGCCTGGGCAACAAGAGCGAAACTCCACCTCAAAATCACCAATGAGAACAGTTTCCCTTTACTGCTTCCAGATCTAGCCCATGAACTTGAAGTGGCAGAAACATCATTAGTCTATTTATTCCAGTAGTTTGATCTCAGTATATAGAAAAGGAAGAAGGATGGTTTGAGTATTATTCCAGTTGTGGAACTAACATATTTATTATAGTGCTAGTAACATATAATCATTTCAAGCTCTCTTTAAAGGAAGAAGACTTCGTTATCCCCAAGTCCTGCATAAAATTACTAGAGTGTTGAAAAACATGAAAGTACTACCCTAACACCGCCTAAACACTATCCTAAAATTGTCATTAACTAAATCCTCTTAAGAGTAGAAAGTAAACCTATTTCCAATTAATTTGGTAGAAAAGACTTAAATCTAAGCTCCACTGTCATTAAGCTAAAAAATGCTTTTAACCAGTTCTTCAAGGCACATTTATCTAAGTATGACAGAATTCTGAGGCTGGACTGTCAAAAATGGACAATACTGAGGTTCTTAATCTTTACTGCAAAGAAACATAAGTCCTGCCCTAAGAAAGAGAAATTATCTTCCTAAAAATGACTTAAGCATAAAGATAGAAATATACACAAACATGAAATATACCTTTTTTTTTCTTTTTTTTGAGACGGAGTCTCGCTCTGTCCCCCAGGCTGAAGTGCAGTGGCGGATCTCGGCTCACTGCAAGCTTCGCCTCCTGGGTTCACGCCATTCTCCTGCCTCAGCCTCCTGAGTAGCTGGGACTACAGGCACCCACTACTGTGCCCGGCTAATTTTTTGTATTTTTAGTAGATATGGGGTTTCATCGTGGTCTCGATCTCCTGACCTTGTGATCCACCCGCTTCGGCCTCCCAAAGTGCTAGGATTACAGGCATGAGCCACCGCGCCTGGCCAAAATATACATGTTAACCTCTGATCAGTGTGTGAAAGTGATTCAAAAGCCTCTCTGCCTGCACTCTACCAGTAGACAACCGGTTAGAACTTTAGTTCAAAAAGTACTGGAAAGGCTGGGTGCGGTGGCTCACACCTATGATCCCAGCACTATGGGAGGCCGAGGCAGGTGGATCACCTGAGGTCAGGAGTTCCAGACCAGACTGACCAACATGGAGAAACCTCGTCTCTACTAAAAATACAAAATTAGCCGGGCATGGTGGTACATGCCTGTAATCCCAGCTACTCGGGAGGCTGAGACAGGAGAATCGCTTGAACCTGCGAGGCGGAGGTTGCAGTGAGCCGAGATCGCACCATTGCACTCCAACCTGAGCAGCAGGAGCGAAATTCCATCTCAATAGTAATAATAATAATAATAATAATAATAATAAAGTACTGGAAGGGGCCGGGCTCGGTGGCTCACACCTATAATCACAGCACTTTGGGAGGCCGAGGTGGGTGATCACCTGAGCTCAGGAGTTTGACACCAGAAACACAGTGAAACCGTCCCTACTAAAAATAAAAAATAAAAAAAATAGGCCAGGCACAGTGGCTCACACCTGTAATTCCAGCATTTTGGGGGGCTGAGGCAGTTGGATCACCTGAGGTCAGGAGTTCAAGACCAGCCCAGCCAACATGGCAAAAACCCATCTCCACTAAAAATACAAAAATTAGCTGGGCGTGGTGGCGCATGCCTGTAATCCCAGCTACTTGGGAGGCTGAGGCAGCAGAATCACTTGAACCCCAGAGGCGGAGGTTGCAGTAAGCTGAGACAGCACCACTGCACTCCAGCCTGGGCGACAAGAATGAAACTCCGTCTCAAAAATAAATAAATAAATAAAAATATAAAAACAAAATCAGCTGGGTGTGGCAGCGTGTGCCTGTAGTCCCAGCTACTTGGGAGGCTGAGGCAGGAGAATCACTTGAACCAGGGAGGCAGAGGTTGCAGTGAGCCAAGATCACGCCACTACACTCCAGTCTGGGCGACAGAGCAAGACTACGGCTCAAAAAAAAACACAAAAAAACAAAAAAACAAAAAGTACTGGAAGGGGGCTGGGCACAGTGGCTCACACCTGTAGTCCCAGCACTTTGGGAGGCTGGTGCAGGTGAATCACTTGAGGTCAGGATTTTGAGATGAGCCTGGCCAACATGGCGAGATCTCGTCTCTACTAAAACTACAAAAATTAGCTGGGCATGGTGGCGCATGCCTGTAGTCCCAGCTACTCGGGAGGGTGAGGCAGGAGAATCGCTTGAACCTAGGAGGGGGAGGTTGTGGTGATCCGAGATTGTGCCACTGCACTCCAGCCTGGGCAACAAGAGCGAAACTCCGTCTCAAAAAATAAAAACAAAAATAAAAAAATAAGTACTGGAAGATTTCCATTTCACTTCATTTGATGGCTTTTCTCCATTCAGAATTCACCTGTCACCATTTCAGGAAATGAATCTAAGTTGTGAAACACTACTCTAAACACTCTCAGGTTTGAGAGAAATATATTTGGGAAGACCAAATCTGAATGTGGAAAAAGTTTTCTATCAGCTCACATGCTGTCATGCCAAAACAGACCATCCTAAGACAGCAATCAACCAAGAACGCTTTACACCTGAAAACATTTCTCTTACAGCAGTTTTCTTCAGTGCTGAAAATGAATATTAAGCTGATAGCATTTGATACTTTATCAAGTAGGTAAGAGTAGTGCACCAGTACATAAACAAGGGCTGGCTTTAAAGCATTAACCAGTCAGTATTCCAGGAAGCCAGGGACAATTAGCCATGTTAGAGCCATGACTGAGGCCTGGCACAGTGGCTCACCCCTGTAATCCCAACACTTTGGGAGGCCAAGGTGGGCGGACTGCTTGAGCCCAGGAGTTTGCCTGGGCAACATGGCGAATTCCCATCTCTATAAAAAATACAAAAACTAGCCGAGCGTAGTGGTGTACGCCTGTGGTCCCAGCTACTCAGGAGACTGAGACGGGAGGATGGCTTGAGCCCAGGAGGTCCAGGCTGCAGTGAGCCATGATCGCACCACTGCACTCCAGCCTGGGCGACAGAATGAGGCCCTGTCGCGTGCAAAATAAATAAATAAATAAATAAATAAAATAAAATAATTTTTTAAAAAGTCCATACTAAGGATATATGGATGTGGGCCCAATTAGGATATAACCGTTCTTGTCGTCAATGTCCCAACTGCTTCAACACTGTTAAGCAAGTTTTATGGGAACCAGCCTGATACATTTTAGGGACCGAGAAATGAATTTACAATTCGAGTCCTGTCAACCTCTTCAGAAACATTCAGTAGCCAACAAGACATGTACTGAAGCAAGATCTTTAATAAATATGACTTCCTCTCTCCCCCAAAAACAGTCATCTGGACAAGCAGTTTAAACATCTCCAGTTTTCAGCGAGGGGAAATATGACTGAAGCCTTACTTTTTTGAGTCCATATCCAATTTGTAATAGACAGTAAAAAAATAGGATTGAAAAATCCAGTTACCCCACCAAGCACACTCAAGAGCATTCCTATGAGAAATCTGCCTCTTAAGGAAACATCAATACAGAGGACACTAATTTTGTGGCGCATCCTAGAGCTTTAATCCTCAGAGTACAGTATGTAAATCAATAACATACCAATTACATAGCTGTTACAGAACTCACAAAAGTATACGGATCTGCAATTTTAAAAAAATCTAAGCCTACATTCCCTTCACCTAAAAACCTCTCAAAGCAAATTCCAGCTTAAACTCTGGGTATCTGCACTTGCAGAAAAATGTTCAAAGTAATGCTCTACTAAATTTAGTTAATATTTAGTCCACGTAGTGAGTCACAGTGAGATTACCACTTAATAGGAATTAAATGGTTATACAATGTTACTAACTTCCCCACCTAAAAAGAAACACTATTTCATTAGTGGCAAACCCTACTTTTGTATAGCGATGGGGGCATTTGGAGGCAGGTGGCTTCTTCAGGTCAAGGAAAGCATCTCCATTTTCTGTTTCACCCACACTTCTCCTATCCATGGCTCCTTGGTCTACAATGCTCTGCACCTGGAAGATAAATCGGCACAAAATTGTCACCAAGAACAGTAAGTTTTCAGAAATCTTGGCTGTTTCTTCAGAGGCTGAAACGTTTTAACCTCTTAAAACAGCTCGTGTTAAAAATAAGTCCCCACCCCAAAATTATGCTATAAATTAGAACTCGGAGATAGAATCGTTGGTACTCAGTTATCTCTCCTAGTATCCTAAGCATCAACATGGTAAAAAGCAGAAGGTGCCCAACTCAAGGTATATAACCTTTAAGCAGCTTTAATACAAAGAGAAACCAAGATTAGGAGCTGCCACCCAGGGGGATCTTTCAAGACTGGTGGGGAAGTTTCCCGGACTGGGGGCAGGCAGAAGACTGGTTGGGCTGGGAACCCGCGAAGTCTGTTGTAAAGTGCCTGTCACTTGCCAATGGACGGCGCCAGCTGCCCCTTGTTATCCGGGGATCAGGGACTGGGGACGGGGCCCGAGCGCCCCTCGCCCGGCCAGCCGCACCTGTGGCCATGTCAGGGGCGCCGATGGCAAGGAAAGAGCGAGCACCGGCTTCAGCTCCAAAACTTGGCTTCCCCGGGCCGCGACCCCAACCCGCAGCCCCTCACGCAGGCCCGGGCCCAGCGGCCTCCTTCGGAGGAAGGGCGGGGACGATACTCACTGAGGGGCG